ATTCAGATATTTACGCATTAAACCGAAAAAGACGAACGATTTGAAAAAATAGGACAATTTAAAAGGTCATTTAATGAATTCAAAAAAAATGGTCCACATGAAGTGCTCGAACGCAAACAATAGCTTTATTTTCGTTCAACATTTTGAGTGATTATTTTCTCACCCTTGCAAGATGGTAATTAACCCATCGTAAGAGAATCTGTTCGGGTGATAACCTCCTCAAATCATCGATAGATTCGTCTTCGTTCAGCAATCGGAATAAGCCTGGCACATGAACTAAATCAATCTGATTGAATAATCCAATCTGAAAGAAATGAATCAGGTGAGACAAATAGACTAAAAACACTGTAGCTCTCACTAGAAATCTTGAGGAATGTACTCTCGTTTTCTCATGAAAACCTCTCAAGAAGTAATCACAAAAAATAACTATAAGTTGTAAGGTGGCGAAATTGAAAGAATGATGACACTAGCGTCCAAACGGGAGCAAATGATAAGATAAAAAATAGTGAATATCAAAGGAAAGATCAAACATCAATATCACATGCACTGCCAAAATGCACCGACTGATAAGGAGAGGCACAAAAAAGATACAGTCTTAAGGATTAGCTATCGAACGAGGAGCTCTTTGAAAGAAATTAGAGATTTGAAGTGATTACTCGAATAATCTGCCAGAGTAATCCGAGCACAAGATGTGGTCGTCCCTTGCTGAGATCATAACCATCTATGTTGACTATATTGCAACCGATCGCCTGTGAGGACATCAACGCTAACGTGAGGTTTTCGAGTTTCGTATACGTATTCAAATTTTTTTTGTTTATCGCTCGTTCGTCGATCGTTTCCGGAACAGCGAGATTGATGAGTTTGCTGAATGGATTGAAAATTTATGGTGTTCAAGAATGATATCTACCGACTAGGTTATTATTCGATCAATCAGTTAGCTAAATATGAATTCAAAATTGTTCTTCTTCATTTAGGTGTTATTTCAAATCAAATGATAAAGTGAACAGTGAATGAAAGTATAACTTCATAGTATAGCTTGATAATTATTCCAGTTCTCCAACGATCAGCCACCAGAGAACGATGGAAAGTGGTTCTCTCTCTCCTCCCCCCTCACAAAAAAAACCCGCAACAATTCGATCGTAATTTCGCTCACTGGTTGCTGAGAGGAAAGTCTGCAGCAATGTGGATATTGCTTAAACTGACCATAATATGAGACCATCCTGCACTTTACGGTACAAGTCTCCACCGTCAGTTTGCACGGGCAACAGTCGTTTCAAGTCAGGATCCGCCAACAGATTGCTGTTTATCCAATTCGAGAACGCAACCTCCTCCTATCAAATTCACACTCGTAACCGAATGCATACTACGTACCACCTCATCAAGCGAATCATAAAAATCGCTTGCGCAA